AAATCTGCGGGGAGCTATGCAAAAAACGCATCTTCGCACGAGCAGCCCGTGCGTTGGCCAATTATTTCATGGTTGCGAAGATCGAATCTGACCGTCGAGGTCGAAGGTACTTGAATTGTTTGGCGAAACCAAGAAGCTTTTCGGTGAAAGCTTTGACTAGTGCCTGTCCTCACTGTCCAGCTGGTACTTTTTACTTGCACGTGTTCGTCCTCTTTCCATCGATTTCTTGGGGCCTACTGCTAGCAGTATTCTTCTTTCATGCAGTGGGATGGTATGCATTCTTGCCCGCAACATGCTTCCCATATAAATGGAAAGTACCACATCCTAAGGAAACGTCCTTGGAAATGCGCAGAAGATGCTGGTTTTATTGTTTTTACGTTTGGCCAAGCCAGGTCCGTCTCCCTCTCGTATCTTCCCTTCCGCCATTTCCGTTGCTCTTGCCAGTGCCGTACTTGTCAGCGTACATCTCTCTGTCTTCTCCTCCGCATCCAGGCTTGACGTTTAAATTCCTCCTACGTTCATGTATGCAGATAACGACTAATGTGAATTCGGTAACTGACACCATATCGAATTCACGTGTTCTTTTGTTTTGAAACTTAGTTGTTGCTGATATACACCAGCCTCACAGCTGCAGCAACATACCTCGCCTACTCTTACGATGACGTCAGCATACAGTACTCATCTCTTTCGGGAGGCTTCGCTTCGCAGTTCCCCTGTTTGTTTTGATAAAATCGGCGTGTAGTAACGCCAGTCTGTTGAGATAACGTGTGTGTGTGTGTGTGTGTGCAGTACGCCGGACTCTCATGGTGACATCGTTGTGCACTACAGCGGTCTGTTGTGATGAAGACGCGGCATCAGCGCACCGCTGTTTCGGCAATAAAATTACAAAATAAAAATAGGCAGAAAAAAAAAAGATCGATTACAAAAATATAGGCAAAAAACGCGTAATAAATGAATGACTGCGAAAACAACGCGCATTGCATCGCATTATCGTCCAGTTGATACGAGCAACCAGGCTGTGAACACGCGGCAATGAAAACGTGAGGCCACAGTGAAACAGCGATCCCACTTTAGACCGTAAAGCCAGGCCATGGCATTTTGCCAGTTTCGTGTCAGATACACACGTACGGAAGGATTATTGGCATAGTGAAATGGGAGATTTTTGCCAGCTGCTAGTCTTGTTTGCCTGGATCGGTGGGATCGCAGAGACGAGTTGCAACGGCTTAGAGGGAAGAGAGCTGGGGAGAGAGGCAAGTAATAAGCGCCGGAGGTAATGGTTTAGGCCAACGAGGAGGTGCAAGCAGCGTTACTGCCTGAAAAGAGCTGAGTCTGCCTGGAGGTAGGAATGGGAAGCAGGGGCAGGGATTATTACGCGAAGGAGGGGGGGGGGAAGCAATAGGAAAACACGTATGAGCTGAGAGGAGGAAAACATGTATAACCTCATCTTTCGGTAGCAGGGGTTTCGCAGCTTACACCGAAATCCAGAAGTGAGTGCACATCGTGTAGCCGAACTGAGTTCTGGTGATTGCGGCAGTAGCTGTACTTCGCCTCGGCCGGCGACATAACAGTCTGCGAAAAGTTTTTTGTGCCAGTGGTGGGTGCCCTTACTCCACTGCAGCGAAAAACGCTGGATGAGCTGGATGACGTAGATGGGATGGTGGTGAGGGGGCTGATGTGTGCGGGTTCCGAGGGCGGAGCTTAGCGGCAAGGGGTGGGGATTGAGTGGGTGGGTCGAGTAGCTACGTGGCGTTAATCCTTTGACGATTGCTTAGACCACGTAAGGGAGAGGGCGAGGGGTGATGAATGGAAAGGAGAGGGAGATGTGCTCCTGGTTTTTGCCACGAATACCTTGATAGGAAAGGGGCTGAAATATTGCTTGCTTACACGATGCTGTCATAGTGGGAGTGGAGAGGAGCTCAAATGTTGCTTTGCAGACAGTATTTTAAGGCAGAGAAAGGGAGCGAGGATACAAGTCGGTATCATGAGACAAAAACTGCAGGGAGCCGTAAAGAGAACGAGAAAACAAAACACTACGAAAAAAAGAATTAAAGCAAGCTTGGGCACAGGATTAAAAGCAAACTCAAAAGAAAGATGTGAATCTAAAGTAGAAGCAATCAAGAAAAACTCAGTCTGTGCGAGTGGGAATTGTCCTAAAAAAAGGGACTGTCTCTGAAGCTAATGCTTAGGTAAAACAGGGCGAATAAAGTAAAGCTACGGAACAAATAAAGTAAAGCTACGTAGGCTTTCCACATCCAACAAAATTCAAAAGGAATAAAGAAATTTCGGAGGTGAAATTCCTCTCACTGGAAAGTATTGTCTTGAGAAATCTGACTCGTCTTCCGGATGGGTGCACGTATTCATGATGCTGAACGGAGCGAGTCAAAAGTGCTGTTTTTGTTCAGTTCTACTTTTTTATAGATAACCAGCCGGATTTGCTGTTCAGTGGCGCTAGCATTGATCCGAAATGGCTTGGAGGAAATGCGAAGGCGGAAGAATTGATGGAAAACTTGGTACTGTATTTTTTTCACTTCGCATAAGATGTTGAATAGTTGAGCATTCAACATAGTGCATCTCGCCACTGATAGAGCTCGTAACGTCCCTTTTGGCTTATTCTTAGCTCGACGCAACCAAGAAATTGTAGGAATTGATTTGGGCACATCCCGTAACAGCTTAGCAAGTGTTCGGGCGTTCATATATGCGTGTAATTCATTTTTTTTTTTGTGTTTTCGCCATTTTCGTATTTGGTCAAAGCTTTTGCTTGTTTGGGATTACATGTTTGACTGAGACTTTTGTATGAGCTGGTCAGTTCCGCATGTTTCAGAGGCAGAATAAGATGCCGAAAGAGTTGAAACTAGTGAGCTCAAATGAGGCCGAACAGAAGTCGGAAAAAACGGACGACAGAAAACCTGCTTCAGAAAGGTACGTAAACCGTTTTCTTATGTATTACCGTAACTTATCTTTTTCTTGCCACACTTTTTTCCTTTTTCATTTCACTGCTCCCTCATGGCGTTAGCACATGTACGTTTGGTTTTCTCCATGTCGTGATAATACAGCTAAGGGACTGTGAAAGCTGGGATATGAAAATTCTGGATGATAATCCCAGGCAGGATAATAATCCCAAATCGAGCCCGATTTCAGGCTCGATTTGGCCATGCATTTCAAATTTCTGATCCGTAGGTTTTTTGTTTGCTGAGTGCGCTGTGGGTCCTCAGGTAGTTGCATCCATCCAAGCGGCAGCTATTAACAAAAGTGTTTGGTGAAACCTCTTTTTTGACTGGTATTCATTCTCGTTGCAGATCAAATGAGGCAGCGCCAGAGGAACCACAACAAACGGAGAATAACGGAGCCGATGCGAGCGACATCAGACATGATCTTCTTGCGCTCGAAAAAGTGATGGGAGACGCGCAAATGATGCAGGTGAAACGGAGAATGCGTTCGCTCGATGAGCATTACAACAAAATCTTCCGCCAACAACAGGAAGTAATTGCTTGTTTTTTATGTGCTATGAACATTGGTAATTGCACGCTTGAGACAGCAGCCGTATTTGTGTGGGAGCTTCTCTTGCTAACGACGAGATTTACCAAGAAAAGCCGCAATTTCACTTTTCCTGAGTGTATTTGTTAGGGATATAATTCCAAGTTTGTGGAATTTTCCCTTGAAGCTGCCCGCTGTAGAATTTTTCCCGAGTAACACTTGCAGTTCGTTTATTGCCCTAGTGGACCCTGGCCACTCCTTTTCCCACCATTTCTTTGTATGCATCACCGCCTTGAAGTAATTTGTGTAGGTCGCTATCTTCTGTGTCTTCTTAATGCATTTCCAGAGATTCTCATGTTATTGCTTGTTCGTAGGGATGAACAGTGGGGTTTGCTTGTCTAATCTCCCTTATCGTAGGTTTTTTGCCGTGCGCAGTGAATTTTGGGCGTAATTTGGTTTGGCGTATTTCTTGGGTTTCGACATAAATTCCGCAGAACTGTTCCTTTTATCATTGCGTGTCGTAATTCTTGGAATCAAGGAAAGCGGAGGAACACGGAGCAGTTCTGCATGCTTTTGATGATTGCCCTTCCTTTGGCTGGTTTTGGCGCACAATTTTCATCCAGTTCTCCTATGTGCCGGAATCGGTTTCCAGAAAAATGATACCAAAGAAGCTGCTGATAAGCTGTCAGTCCTGAAATGTCCCTTGAAGTATGACGCGCACAATCCGCCTCCGTGGGAATTGTGTCCGGACCGGAAGGTGTTGCATAGCTGCTCTACTGATGCTGAATCCAGTGTATCCGAGGGCGCTTCTTCTGACAGCGATGTAAGTTAGAAATTTCATGTGCAGCTTGTCCACTTACATTCGACTTTCTGTACTTGGGCTCTAAAAATAGTGCCATAGCTGGGTGAGTTTGATGCTCTTTAAGTGGCATTCCGCATCTGAACGACGGAGTGGTGTATGTATTTTGCTCGTTTTTGAGCTCACCGCATTCTCGTAAGCCCATGTATGCATTCTGGCGTTCATTTGGGTTCTCGCTCTCACTGACGGCGATCCTTTTGTTGCCCTTCCGACATTTTCTGGATGGTTGTTCAACAGCCGTTTTGTCCACCTGTTATTTCTTGACCTCGCCTGCTCAGCCTTTCATTCTGATGCCCTTTGAGTCACACAGGTGTCTGCTGCACTGAGAAAAACAAAAAACACTCATGCTATTAATATAAAAATAATTTATTCCTTATGTGGTCATTCAGGCTGCAGCTCTTTCGCGGTAAGGACGTGGTTGGTGATCCTTCCATCGGTAGCTGTTTGCCTAAGCTCCCTTATCTTCTGTTTGGCTTGTTGATGATTTTGCCGTTCGTTGCGTTTTCGATTTTTGAATGTGCCGTTTCTCATTCGCAACTGCGCATTCATTACACTGAGCAAGAAAAATGCTGCTAGTTTGTTGGGAGAAATTGAAGCTTTGTTGTACCGGGAAAGAGGGGAGGGAATACATGTGCCATGTGGGTTGGTCTGCTTATTACGAGATACTGAATTTGAGCCAGAAGCGGGTTTTTTTTTCAGGCTGAGGGTAGTGCTGTTGGTGTTCCTCTTTCAAAGAAAATGAGAAGAACGCTGCGTAATAGTGTTTGTCCGTTTCGAAGCGATTGTGACAGCTGTATTCAAGCTATGCTCGATTCTGCTTCCATATGCACCGAGGATGCGGCATGTCAAACGGATTGTTAGGCTTTTTTAAAGACATTCTTGACGTTTTGAAGCTTAGGCGGTCTGGGTTGATTGTACTTCTTCGCTTCCCTGCTTTTATCATAACTGCCAAAGATTTGATTGTGTGTGCCTGTTTCTGGATTGTACTGTGGCCAACTGCCCAGAAGCTATCATCCTTGACGTTTAGACGCTATCTTCGATGGCTTTGTCTATGTTTTCCTTCCCATTTTTTTCTTTATTTATGCTTCTTGGAATGACGAGAGTGTTTTGTTGAGTTCCAGGCATGTTCCCCATCCATTTTCCAAGTGAAGAGGTATGCGATTTTCAAAAGCAAGAATCATTATATTTTTGCGTATAACTTTTTACTTCTGCGCTAACTTTTGAAGTGCTAGGGCTGCATGACCAGTTGATGTGGAACAGTAGTGTCAGCAGAATGCACCTACGGATCGGACTGAGTTGTGCCGGGACTTTTGACACTAAGCTTCCCATTTTCGATTAGCTATTGTAAGTGGACCTTATTGCCCGAAACGCCAACAAAGAAAAGGAAAAAACTTAAAAAGGAGGGGCTGGAAAGCTGCCCGTCCATGTACAACTTAAAGATTGCAAATTCAGCCTCCATTTCTTGGTTCTCGTGTACCGGCACATAAATTTTTGGCGGGAAAACCACCCATTGAACAGCAGGGTCATTTTCAAAAAACGACTGCCAAACGAAAATTATTTCCGTCTGTGCGAAATTTACGATGATTTACGGTGTTGAGCGCACAAGGTAGGTGTGAAGGAACACCGTTCATGCAGTTAACCTAATTAGTTCAAGTTTTGTGCAGTAACGCATGATCGCACGGGCCCGCCTGGTGCGTTCCAGCCTGGGTTTCCGTAAATGCCCGCTTTTTGAAAAATGCAAATTTTCAGTTCACTGAAAGTGAAAGTTTTGCTCGAGCGGTCGTTCGTCAAATCCAAGTATGCAAATGAATTGGATGTTCATTTACATATTTAGGTGAGGGCGGTCGTTCGCCGCAAAACGCACTCGTTTTTGATTTTTCAGTGAAATTGGGTATTTCTCGTAACCACCTGCAGGGAATTCCACTTCCAAACAGAACTGAAACGACACTTGAAACTGGAATATCCCAGCGAAGTTTGAGCGAAGTGAAGTCTCGCACCTCATCTGGTAAGCGAAATTCCCACTTCGCTACAAATATCTTTGAAGTGCCCTAAGTCGTGGCGCAAGTGCAAGTCGGAACTCAATTTTGGTACAGATTTCCCATATAGGCGATAAACAATTTCTGCCACTGTTTCCGGCAAGTTTTCGAGTTAGCGCAGTACTAAGTTGTGAACCTTGACGTGATCGTACGCGCTGCACGAACGTGCACGACAGCTGAATTTGAAATCTTTAGCTTGCACTTGCGCAGAGGGCATCCCTACAAAGTTTCAGCTTTGTACCTTGGCTGGCTCGCGAAATCGTTTCGCACCAAAGAAATTTGCATATTTTTTTCAGGGGTCTGCGCTTGGAGTCTAAGCGCGTATGAGCGAAAATTTTAAAACGGGAGGATGACAGACGGGATAGGAACATATACCCAAAATTTTAGCCTCCAGCTTTCCCGGTTGCTGAGATGAAAGTGGGTGACAAAATTCGTTCGCTTTCGAGCACACACACACATAGACGACCTCTCGACAGTGTGCGTTTTTGCTGACCGTAACAGCGCTATACCACTGCACAGCAAAAACGCATGAAAATCAAAAAAAAAAAGCACCTCAAGGCGCGCTGTTGTCAGAGTAGCAAAGGTTGAAAATAAGCAAAATGTAGGGTATCGTAGATCAAAAAAGTTTGGGAGCATTTGAAAAAACTTTAAGCGTGCTCGCTCCCCCCTCGCTGCGAAAAGCTTAGGCTTCCAAGCAGCAACAAATTCTTTTATGGTTAAGGAAGCAGGGTTGATCGCCTCACAAATGAACGCTGGCTGTCAGGAACTTAACATTGTTGGGACCGTACAGGCATCAGGTGAAATCCCATTAGAATTGTATGCGGAGCAACTGGAGGGTCAGCGATCGGGGAAATTACTGTTTGTTGTGTATGCTCTTATCTAAATTTGTAAGCGGTGATTGTTAGCATACGCAGTGCAAGATTTGCGCAGCAACGGCAACCTGAGTTAGACCGATCACCCTTGTGCTGAAGCAACGTTTGCGGCGTATTGCCGATGTGTCCTTTCTCAGCAGCAAAGCACTTGCTAGCACCGGGCTGAATGTTCTTTTCTGAAAAGGAAGAATTGAGGGGAATTATACAAATGGAACGAGCACACACTCTCCAGCTGACATAATGCTGTTTGCTGTCCTGTTAGGTATGCCGGGAACGTGAGGCAGGGTGGTTTCATGCTGCGTAAGCGTTTCAGGACCTGCCTTGAGATGGTGTTCTGTGAACTCCAGGTGGAAATTTGCTTTGGCTGTTTGCACTGAACAGTTTAGTTTACGGTGCCATTGATCTAGTTCCTGCTTTGAGCAGTGAGCTACCAAAATGATTGAGAATGCACAGAAATTCAATGCACCACGTAAAGAATGCTCGTATTTCATCGCATTGAACCGAATCACGAGCTTGCGCATGATTTGCTTATGAGTGCGAGGGAAGCCAGCGCTTGGGATGCATCACACTGTTTTTAACAATGGGTTACACTCCGAAGGATTACCAGCGAGGGCAAATTTCACAGCATCGCTACTGCTCTCGGAGTGTTCATTCGGAGGAATTATGCCTACCTTTTTTGAAGGCAGGCACGTGTGGGTACTGGATAGGGTCACTGCTGCAAGCAGGAAAGAGAGCGCTAGCTGTAGAAGAATGAACAATGGGCGAAGAATTTTTGTTACGTCTCTCCATGATCGTATAGTCACATTTACTCAAATGTGTGTTTTACTAAGATATGGTTGCGGCTTTGAGCGAAAATGAATGAATGAGATGGATGGCTGGGAGTCTCTGAAATGACTTTACATATGCATTAAAGATGTGGTAGGTGATCATTTACTGGACCCTTTTAGCCGTGAACTGGACAGAATCACTCGTTTTGATGAAGACTTGTCACCCCTGGACAAAATTTGTTTGATCGGTTTTTTGTGATCGTATTCGTAATGCTAATTGGTTAACGAAGGATTTGTAAAGGCAAACAAAAGTCTTGTGGGTTGTGCGATTATGTTGCTTATTGCTGATCAGTCAATGGTTTTAGTTTCTGTGTTGTCAAAAAGAAACCCGAACAGGCATTACGCGCAGCCAAAGAAACAGGTGGCGAAAAAGGCTCTTCCCAATAATGGTACGTTTTACGAGATTCTTTAGATGCCAGAAATATGCGCTTGAGCTTTATTTGTTCGTTTCTTGTCGAAGTTGGTTTACACTAATGAAACAAAAGCAGCGGAATTTAGGGGGATGTCTTGGTTCGCAAATCTGAGACTGACAATTCTGCAGTGATATTTCCGTCGTTTAGCTGAAGTGCGCGCTGTTGAATGACTGTTTTTCCAGTTTGATGAATAGGAACATGAAAAAGTATAAAGGCAGGCATGAAGAATAGGAACATGAAAATGTGTAAAGGCATGAAAATGTATAGAGGTGAGAGTGGAAGAGGAATTTTGCTGCCTTAAGAATTGTTGTCTGTGTGAAAAGAGTTGTCTGACAAGGGTGCTGGGAATGAAAAGGCATTTGGTTAGATTTTCGGAATGTACGGAGAGGACGATGGAGCCAAAGATGCTTTGCGTTTCTGTAAGACTGTTTAAAGGG